ACACACACACGTAAATATTTCTTAAATATATACATGTATGTGTTTGTATGTATATAAATACATATACATATACACAGTACTCATAAATTATGTAAACACAAACTATAATTTTGGATGCAATTAATTGTGATTAATCGATTTGACAGCCCTATTCCAAAATTTTAACCAGTAGTGTAAATATACAGTATATAATCTATTATATTATCTATATATATTAATATGTATATAAATGTTATAAAACTAATGGCTGCTTTTGTTGTCCTTTAGCTTTTTCATGCCAAATAAGCAATTATGATAAATGTTGATAGATTGGAATAAAAACACGTCCAACCCGACTGTTTACAGTGAAGTCAGATTGTGAACAAAGTCTGATATTTCTCCGATTTATTTCCACATGATAAAGTGGCCAAGATCAGATTAAAAAATATCAGATTCAATGTGATTTTTGCTGTTCACAATGTTATGCAGTGAGGGAAAGAACTGTGATGTGAACATAGCTTAAGAGCATTATCAGAAAGTGCCAGGCTGCGGGTCACTCACTTCACACAGTTGATGTCAGACTCATGCGTTTCAAAGGACTGAACATTCTGTCCCGAGCGCATGTCCCACACATTAGCCTTCTTATCACAGCCCTGAAACACACACACAGCACTTTAGAGACTGGCAGAACAACACACACACAACAGGGTGAATCTCAGGAGAATGATGTCCTAAAAATAGCTACGCATTACCCAAACTGACATTGTGACTGAACAACGTCCTAACATGTAAAATCAATCCACATGACTTCTAACATTAATGATGGCCATTTAGAAATGATTATTTATATCCAGCGCTTTCTTTCATCTTTATAAACTGAAATGAGTATTTCACTGATTCTGCTGTAATGATTGTAATCTCACATGTGTTATGTGAGTGGGGGTTGGGATGTGTGTGTAAAACAGTATATTCGTTGATGGTGTTTTGAGGATCTGACCCCTGATACAAAGGTGTTTCCTGTTTCAGAGGGTGCGAGGTTCAATGAAAGAACATCAGCTGAGTGACCATGGAAACTCTGCAGCAGCTGCCCACTTTCAACATCCCATAACGCACATGTCCCATCACCACTTGATGTCAGAATCTGCAACACACACACACACACTTCTGTGTCTGCCTTGAATAAATGGATAAGCAAGTATAGATCACTTTAAATTCTTCCTGACATTTTGTAATGACCTGAAAAAAGTAGGCCTATAAAAGTATATATAAAACACCCGTATCACCCTCTAGTGGAGGTATTGATTATTACCATTATGTCAGGACCACAAACACATGCAGCAATACAATATTTGTTGTTTCCTCAACTGTCCTAAAGAAACTACATAAAAAAACAAAAAAACAGCATCAGGTTGAGTAGATGACACAATGTTAAATTTTATGTGAACTATCCCTTTAAATCAGTTTGGGAGTGTAAACCCTAAAAAAATCATAATCACTGGAAGCCGCAGAATTTTCACTTTCTACTCTTCTATAAATAGATGTACTGAATCCCCTGTCTTGACGAAAACAAAATATTTCACTTCGTCTTTTTATTATCTCTGTTGTCACTGACAGGAACATAATCACGAAAGAGGAACAATCCGTGATGTGAGACGATGCAGAGAGAGAAAACCCCAACCATTTTTTCAAAACACTCACGACAAACACAAACCCAACGGAAAGCTGTAGTGATTATTTTTAGAATTAATTATTCCAAATGACTGTTACACTCACTGAACAGACCAAATCACAGAACTCATGCTGAAAAAGCAATAAAAAAAGCTTTTCTTACTGATCCATGACAAGGTTATTTTTAAAAGCAGAAATCATATCAGGGGAATTTCAGGGGATTGCTGTGATATTTGCTATGAGAAATGTGCTTACGTTCTATAAATATCAGCTAAATCATTACAGACCCATCACTGCCACAGACGCACTGATTAGAGCTGAATTATTAAACCATGAATTAATATAATTTGACCATCTCAGCACATAGTGCACTGCAGCTCCAAAAAAAATGTTCCTTCATTTTTAGGGCTGTGACTGTAGTGTTGGTGTGATTTAAAGTAAATAAATGAATAAATATATACAGTCTATGTAAAATTACATGAATGCAACCTCACACAGGGTCTGATGCCAATGCAAAAATAGTGTGTTTAGCACTCAATTTTACACAACCCCCCAAAAAAACACATTTTTGTAAAGAGCTATTGATTAAGATGTAAAACCTTTACAGCAGCAACAATTACTACCTTATTAAATTAAGGTGGAACATAAATGTATTCATAATGAATATGACATTACCACTCATTACCAATAGAAATTAATTTGTGCTATAATTCCAATGGTAATAATGATATTTGTATATCATTATTTACTCTAATACTAACTCTCACATAAACTTAAAAAAGCTACAATTAGTAAGGAGCACATCAAATTTCCTAACAAGTTGGTTTTTAACATGTTTTAATATATTTGTGAGAGTTTTCAAAATGTAGGCATTCACAAGCATAAACAACCCTGTATATACACACACACACTCACCTGCATGTCAGAGTTGGTGAAGCTGCAGGAAGACAGATAGTTGGTGTGCATGGCCACAGATTTCTTTTTAGCTGCCACGTTCTCATTTTTATCCAAAGATAGAGGATAGATGGAACATTTATTATCCAAACCACTGAATGAAAGACAAAGAGAAATGTTA